GTCTTATCAACACCCCCAGTTTAATACATCTCATATTACTGATTTACTGGTAGTCTCGAAACTCTACTTAAATGCGAAAATTAAAGTAACTAATTCTATTGTTATAGCAAATATACGTTTGCTTCATCGACAATCCCACCAAAGAATATGATATGGCAAATGGCCTGGCTTTCCTTGAAATTCACATCTGCCCTGTTACCCAAAGGCACTCGTGGCAATGTGGTCGAGTGGCTGACGTGTCAAGTTCACATGCCTTGCTGTCACGGTTCGACTCCCGCTGGGGGTGTTGATAAGACCGATGCGTCGTCGAAACTGCAGTCCACTCCGGCTTGGATGAGAATAACTTTTGGAAAAGCAAGGCTATGTGACATTCAATGGAAACGTCGGCTCAACTCATATCATTGTGAGAAAATTATTCTACCAGTCCTTCATCACCTTTACAATAATTGGTTAAATACATCTCAATAAAGCCCATCAGAGGCCAGCGTTTTAGGATGTTGCCGGTGAGTTTTCTTGACTCGTTGGCTTGAATTTTGTTGTGACGATGTTACTTCGCTCTGATGATATCCATCGTATGACGGACAAAAGCGTAGCATCTTTTCTCCTGAATTGAAGGAGATTCCCTCGGAAACGGCGTCAGCATGAATCTTCCAGTAAAGCCAATTGAAAGCTGGTCAAGAGGAATCCGCCGTCGTCTTCTGGTGGAACCGACCTTCGATTCTCTTCACCCAACACTGAAATGGAAGTAAGCTCAACAATTATGAAACAAGAGACTCCTCAAAACCCAACTTTTATTCGCATATATTGGTATGAAAAGTCCTTAGTTGCTTCTACAGTAAAAGTATGCTGGGAACAAAGCGGTTTAATTTTTGAGCTTTTAGGGCGACGGATGCAAATGAAAATGATCTGAGGGTTCAGACTCCCATGCCCTGTAGCCTTTATCGCATAGAATGTATGGAAACGATCACGAAATACGCATACATTATGGGTTACATAACATATTTGCAGTTGTGACGACTTTGTTTAGGGATCAGTAGTCAAGACGATTGGTCGTTGGAAAAGGATTATTTCTATCTCTGTAGGCCTGAGCATTATTACTGACGGGCCTAGTCAAAGGAAGGTCTTCTTTGGCTTCTAGTATATCACATACATTAAAACAGCGAAGGTCAATCTCAAAGTGCAAAGGCATCAGTTTTAACATGACAGCACTGCTTCAGCAACATTCATCATTGACTCCTGAATATATTTGGACGGAAGAAGTCATTGAATCAAGCATAGGAAGACAAAGCATCGTTTTTAATTGGAATTCTTTAGGGGATTTTGGTATCGTTGTATACTGTAGTCTGATCAAACAAAGCAATAAAATTAATTTTTGAGTATGCTTTATATCCAGGCTTTAATTCATTGTTTTTCTTTGCCTGAGTTTTATGAGTCGATTCTGCAAATGCATAAAATAATAAAGTAGGAATCAACTGGTTCTTCAGCAGTATGTTGTACTTTTTTA